GTAAGAAGTGCCCCTTTTACTTTGAAAAGTGCCCCTATTAATATTTAAAAGTGCCCCTTCCCCTTTCCACCTCTGACATAAAAACCCTCTTCTTTACACGTACCCCTTTTCGTTCGACAAGTTCCCATTAAGTGTTCATTTTCCATTCTCATAAGTGCCCTTTATAATCTGTAATAATTTAAGTGCCTCTTTTCAGATACGAGAAGCGCCCCTTTTCACCTCTGATAATTGCCCTATTCAAATCTGATAAGCGCACCTTATATTTTCACATGTGCCCCCTTTCCTTTCTAATAAGCGCCCCCATTTAAAAAAGAGCCCCTTCCCTTTCTCATAAATGCCCTTTTTCATCTGTGAAAACAGTCTCCTTTTTATTTATGAAAACAGTCTCTTTTCATTCTCATAAGCCCTTTTCCAAGACGATGGCGATTTAACTTCAAGTCTCTCAACTATGGCTCGTTGGCACGTTGGCAATATAAATTCAAGTCTCTCAACTCATGTTGGCTCGTTGGCACGTAATTGGCACGTTGGCGATATAAATTCAAGTCTCTCAACTTATGTTGATTCGTTGGCACGTTGGCACGTTGGCGATTTAACTTCAAGTCTCTCAACTCATGTTGGCACGTTGGCACGTTGGCGATATAAATTCAAGTCTCTCAACTCATGTTGGCTCGTTGGCACGTTGGCACGTTGGCGATTTATCTTCAAGTCTCTCAACTCATGTTGGCACGTTGGCGATATAAATTCAAGTCTCTCAACTCATGTTGGCTCGTTGGCACGTTGGCACGTTGGCGATATAAATTCAAGACTCTCAACTCATGTTGGCTCGTTGGCACGTTGGCACGTTGGCGATATAAATTCAAGACTCTCAACTCATGTTGGCTCGTTGGCACGTTGGCACGTTGGCGATTTAACTTCAAGTCTCTCAACTCATGTTGGCTCGTTGGCACGTTGGCACGTTGGCGATATAAATACAAGTCTCTCAACTCATGTTGGCTCGTTGGCACGTTGGCACGTTGGCGATATAAATTCAAAACTCTCAACTCATGTTGGCTCGTTGGCACGTTGGCACGTTGGCGATATAAATTCAAGTCTCTCAACTCATGTTGGCTCGTTGGCACGTTGGCTATATAAATTCAAGTCTCTCAACTCATGTTGGCTCGGGATCGTTGGCACGTTGGCCGTTGGCGATATAAATTCAGTCTCTCATCTCATGTTGGCTCGTTGGCACGTTGGCGATATAAATTCAGTCTCTCAACTCATGTTGGCTCGTTGGCACGTTGGCGGCACGATTGCGATTTCCATTCAAGACTAGTCTATATCTCGGCACCAAGTTGTAGTACTTTAACAAGTTGAAGCGTTGGGTTGGCGGATCAAAAAAAAACCTTTAGTTCGCATGGTGGGGTATTCTAAAGTTGTTCCCAAGCTAGTGCTGCTTCAAGGTGATGAAGCAACAAAGAACAACAAAGAAAACGAAAGACTTCATGCATGGCTGATCGTCAACAAAACAGAGTTTGTTGTTTGATGCTATGGCAGGCAGTCAGTGAAAACGAATTCGTTTAAAACTAAGTTTAACAAAATTAGTTTAAACAGAACTTTGTTATTCCTGGCTCATTTTTCCTGATTGAGGTGTCATATAAAACTAAAGGGCAGAAACTGAGCTTTCTGCATGGAAACAAAATTTTCTTTTTGAAATTCAGATACCAGTTGCCAAATCACTTTTTGGTACCCTTTCTTCAAATTGTTTTTAATCACTCATGCATGAAATATGCATCATATGAGTTGCATTAAAATTCAAATGACAAAATTCCTTACCAGACTCAGCAGTCAGAGCAACAACTGTAAATCAGTTCAAATCCATCCTTTGGAAATATTGGTACAGCCACCCCCTTAAGTACAGTCCATACCAGAGAAATAGCATTACCTGGAGGGGCAAATAAGTTTATCTTTACAATTCAACATCAAAGTAAGTAAGTAAGTAAGAAGATCTAAGCTTTACAAATATGTGTCATTTATTAATTGTAATTTTGATTAAGTTATATTAATAAAACATTAGATAATTCTCGGTTTCGTTTTTCTTGGACGCACTGTATAAAGTGCCCTAGATTCTAGGCCTACTGACTACTGTTCATCTTTATATATTTTTTATATATTTTTGTCATTTTCAGTCGAACTTAACCAGGCTAATTTCCTCTAGCCCTATCAAGGTTGGATTTTCCTTTAAGACTTGAGACTTCATCAAAATGAGCACAGAGATTAATGATTATGGTAATCGCTGTTAAGCTGGTGGCTGATTTGCCTTGAATTTTGAGGAAAGTGAAGCCATATGTTAAAGAGCAATGGGCTGCTGCCTTATTTGTAATTGAAAACTTCAGAAACTTCAGATGCCTTTATCAAAGTGAGGCAGTGAGGTTCAGGATTTCTGAAATTGTAGACATGCTAGAGATTGAAACTGAAAGTAATCATGCAATCAACCATTTTTCCATATTTAGGCCTTACAATAACATTTACAGCTCTAATTGAGAATATAAGAAACTATACGGTAATAATTTTGTTGATGAGTTTTCTTTATTTATAATTTTCATAAGCATATCAAAATGTCTTGTTTTGGTTGCCTAGGACCTCTCATCTAATGCAAGGGTCACTCTGTGGCCTGGACCCACCCTCCTCAGAGGTCGCCAAATATCGACGTCGACTCGACGCCTAAGCCTGACCCTGACCTATTTGTTGTTGTAGTGAAGTCCTAACGTTCGTTTTTCTTCATTGGGTGAAGCTTTACTATACAAATTGATGAAATGTGTGAAGCTTTGACGAGTAATTTGTTTTTTCTGGTGATGTGACATCGAATCCAATCGGTCGCCTTGTTTGTTCAGGTGATGTGACATCGAAGCCACTACCGGTCGCGTCGAAAATATGTCGAAATCATGTCGAAATCGTGCGTTTCAAAACAACTATTTAATTTTTATTCCGGTCACTCATGCACTCGCATCAAAACCGTTTAGCATTTCTCGCTCCGGTTAACCGTTATTTGCATTCATTTTGGAATGTGCTAATAGCCGATGATAAAGATAATCAAAGAAACCGCAGTGTAATATTACACCCTGGCCGCTGCGCGCTAGCTTTCTGGCAGCAGTTATCCCCATGAATGAATTTGTAAACAATAAAACAACCAGCCCCCTTCTCTCTTTTCTCACCCTCTTTATTCCCTTCTCTCTGCAATGTGTTCATCGCTCATGTACCTTTTCTTATTACTGCACTCTCAGCTCACAACTTTCTAAATGTTTACACATTCGATGGTCAGTTCCTCTCACATCCCTTCTCCCCCGAGTCTCTCTCTCTCTCTTTCAATATTAATATCCATCCCTTGCCGACTCGCCCCCTAAAATAATGTTCATATATAAATAAAATACAAAAATATTGATGACAATAATAATTGAAGTTTTAGAAATATCAATCAACAAAGTCTTGGATATTATTTGTGAGTAATTTAAGTTTTTGATCATTCTTCAATTCAGCCGATTAACACAGCCACCCTTTCTTACTTCGATCTTCACTCATGTCCCTGCCTCGTCCATGCTAGGGACATGCAGGGACATGCAGGGACATGCTAGCCCATATGCATGCTCTCTCAGTCACACACACATGTACACACAAACCTCCGGCGCCCAAATACACTGTACATACACACAGATGGAGAGCTCATGCTTGTCACATGCACACATGTGGGCGTGGCTTCTTGACCTCCCACTGAACTGGGTACGGTGAAAGCACGCGCGGTCACCAACCTGTAATTTATGCTGGTATCAAACTCCACCCACATAGCTAGAGAACCTTCCTGATTGGTCACTAACTTGGATCAGCTCATTGCAGGGTGTGTCTTGGGTGTGTGTGATACACACTTCCACATAATTTCATATGGCAATGATACATGCAGGGAGCTCTCTCCCTGACCATGTGCAAACATTGCATTGCAAAGGCATATATAAACACGTCACAGATCAGCTATCTTCACAGAGTAACTTTGCAAGGTTAATCATGATATCAAATTCAGATAAGGAATAATAAGACATGTTTTATGTTGTTTATTACTGGTCTCTGTTTATCAGGATGACCCAATTTGTGCCATAGTCCGGGCTGGGAATGCTCAGCCCGACAGTCTGAAGACCAGCAGGGTTCCGAGCTACAGCACTATTAAAAATACTGTATTTTCACTTTTTCAGATTATTATTAAACGGTTAAACGAAACCGCCCGTATACTTTTAACGGTTAACCGTTTAGCACAAAAACCGTAATGACTCAGGCTTAGGTGAAACAGTGGTGAAGCTTGAACTATGCAAATGGCCAGTATGGTGAAACAGTGGTGAAGCTTCAGACCGGCCGAAAACTTACAAAAGTGAAGCCTCACCTATGGAAAACTGACACAAGTGAAGCCACACCTATGTAAAACTGACAAAAGTGAAGCATCACCTATGCAAATAATTCAAAGGGTGAAGCCTGGACTAACACATTTGCTGATAAGAGTGATGCTTTGCCTTTGTTTTTTGTAAAGCACATGAAGTGATGGTGAAACCCTGAGGTTACAAATAATTGGCTCAGGTGAAGAAAGGTGATGACCTGAGGAGGGTGGGTCCAGGCCACAGAGTGACCCTTGCATAAGTTTCATGTAAGTGTGAATTCCCCCCCCCCCCCCCAAAAAAAAAAAGAGGGGGGAGGAGAAAAAAGACATAATGAAGGTTTGCAAAGTGCAAACCCACCTCTCCAGGGTTTGTTTTTATTTTAGAATTCATGAATGGAATTAAACAAGCCAAATGAATGTGCAAATGCGTATGCAGTGGAAACCAACACTTTGTTTTTTATTCATATACAGGGTGTATGAAGACATTAAATATCAACAGTATAACTTTGTTCTGTGTCTCGTAATGAAACTGCTACATTGTAGCCACGGCATTTTAACTTTAAGGTAATATTTTGAGACCACATTCATATGAATTCTTTCTCAACAGTGGGACTGGGAGCAGATGCAAGCTCTCCATCCAAGAAGTCCTTCCCTCCATGGGAAACAAAGAGCAATGAGTCAGCTGGGTTTCATATCTACTGCCACAGTGGCTCAAAAGAATGGCTAGTTCTCAAATTCCTCAGTAGTGTCACGGTAAGTATCCAGTGTAACAAACCATTAGTGCATAATGAAGAAGGTCAGCTCTCTGTAAACAATGCAATGTATTGTAAAATCATTAATTAGCCTTTAAGGGGGATTTTTGTTCGATGCCATTTTTTTTTCTCCCGAAACCTTCTTTTTCGTTACTCGAGGGGGGGGGGGTTGCTCACTATCACCCCTGAATAATTGTTTTATCCCTTTCAATAAATGTCCCCTTTTCCTCTCATCATTAAACGTGCCCCTAATTTAAATAATAATAATGATAATAAATTATATTTCTATAGCGCATTATAAAAAATATGTTTCTATGCGCTTTACATTGTATTATGTAAAAGCTTAAATAATTATCTACTGTTGAATTAGCCTCAAACAAAATTCTGACAAAATCTTAACTAAAATACATGTAGTACAACAATAACTAAATATAACAACATTATAATTCATTCTTAAATAATGATACAACAATTATTTTATTTTTACATTAAAAGTTATAGACATATACTAGGCTCGTTTAGAGTAAACGTTTAATCGTATACCTGCCCGGTAAAGCCAGCAGTCGATGGTCTGGATGGTAGGTGCCGTTCTAATGGCAAGCGGGAAAGAGTTCCAGAGGGTGGGAGCATTGAAGGTGAAGGAGCTACGGCAGTAGCACTGGGTTTTAAAACGAGCCTAACAAGGAACCTGAAGAAGATGTTTGTTCTGGGATCTGTGAGCATGGTAGGGTGTGTAGGTATGAATGAGTTCAGACAAATAAGAAGGGGTAGAGTTAGAGAGAGACTTGAAAGGAGGATCTTGAAGTGAATCCACTTGTTGATTGGGTGCCAGTGGAGGTTACGGAGAAGGGATGTAGTAGAATTGAGACCAGTTGCTCTCTCTGTGATTCTGGCTGCTATGTTTTGAAGCTATTTACAAGTTCGTTGGCAGGTAGATTAAGATGAAGTGCATTGCATGTGTCAAGTTTAGAAGTGACAAAGGCATGGATGAGAGTGAGAGTTGTCTTCCGGTCTAAAACCGTACAAATTCAACCTATCTTTCTGATGGATGACATGGCAGAGCGACACACCCCTGCGACATGAGATTTTCTAGTAGCGTGCTCATCAAAGATAATTCCCAAGTTCTTAGCCTCGGCCTTGGCTTCAATGACTGTCTCATCATATCAAGGAGAAGCAGTAGACTTATCTTCTGGTTGTCCATTGACATAAGAAGATCACTTTTGATCCTAAGAAGTGCTGTTTCAGTACTATGAAATTTTCAATATGCTGATTGATTGAACGGCAAGAGTGAGATGCTGTACTATTCGGGTTGTATGGAATCCTCCTTTTAATTAAGATAGTGTTTTCTGATAAATTTTTCATTAATTGAGAGTTTAATGAAGGATTGCTCACTGCAGTACACATTACTATTCAAAGTAGCATACAGGCAGAGTGTGAACAAAAGTCCAAGTTGCTTGCTAGTGAATCCAGTGATTCATGTTCGTCCAGGCATACAATGCATAATAGGCAATTAGGCATACATTACATAATAGAGTACCAGGGGGCCGTTTCTCGAAACCGTCATAACTACAAGATCAACGATATCTCGCCACTGTCGCGCAACTTGTCAGCTAAGTGTTTCACGAATCCGTCTTTGCCAAGATGAGCGACAACTTCCGCGACAAACGAGTTGTCACTGCTCCGAACTTGTCATATCTTTTTAATTGCTGTAAAGCGCCATCACAAGTCAGTTTGTTGCCATTCCATGGGCCGCGAAATGGACGATTAGTTTCACTATCATTTTGAGAAAAATATAGACGAGTTCGGTACGTAATTCTCTGGGATGCGAAATGCAAATGTACAAAAGTGAGAATACAAATTATACAGAAACTTTAAAAAGCTGAATATAAACATTAAATCACAAATCATTAAACTATAACATATAAATACATGTAAGAGAGGTAAGAATGTTACACACCGTTTTCCATAGTCGATCCATAGTCTTTTCTTAGAATACCGTCATACCTTTGGGGCCTATGTGCATTATTATTCCCTCTCTAATTACTTCTTCCAAATTATATTTTCAATATCAAATCAATTATATAACAAGTATTTATGAGACTCTAGAATAAAAACTGGCTGAGAAAAGACATTTTGCCTAAAATTCCTCGTCACAATAAACAAAAAAGTATGTATTGATAAACTATCACATTACGGTATCCTTCAACTAACTTTTGATTCGACTGTCAAAAAAAAAACACTCACCCGTTTTTCTTCAATTTAAGAATCTTTACAGAAATATGCAAATCGTTTGATGATGTAAATATGATAATGACACTCTTTATTATTTATTTTAGGAGAATTTATATGTATATATTTCTTTTTGAACAATTTTAGCCCCAAAACTTGTTTTGGGTTATTCTTCATACTGTAAATCAAATGAATCGTGACAAAGACTATCTTCTTGAGCTGCTAGTATCGCGATATATCGATGTCATGTCTGTCATGGCTTTGTGAAACGGTTTATCCACTTCATGACATCTCCGTAGGTCGGCGACAAAGATATGACTGTCATGGAGTTGGTTTCGAGAAACGGCCCCCCGGGTACTTGGTTTCATTAAGTACTTGTCAAAGTAGGAGCAATCTCTCAAAAGCTTGCTCGCTCGCATTTATAGATGATATAATCATGTCACTTTTCAAAGGTCTTTTCAGTCTTTCGTTATGAGAATGTGCTTATACCCACATGAGGACTGGGTATTTGCCTCTTTATAAGATGTAATTTTCCGCACTACTACCTAACTAATCTTAAATTTTTCCTCTCTCGTAAATGAATATTCAGACCATCGCACCCAACTACAAAGTATGATGCTTACGCATCATGTTGTATGATGTATTGAGAGAAACAAATATTGAAATTATACCTGATAATGCAATCACAATATAGGTGTATATACCAATGTCTAAAGAAGTGTATACAGTGTATTTTGGCTTCGAGATTTCTTTGTAGGTGCCCTTTTTTTCTGGAAAGTGCTCCCTTTTGTTGGTGTCCCCCCCCCCCCCTCCCCACTTTGGAAATCGCTTCGCCACATTTGCTTCCATGTGTAGACATCATGAAGAATTATCAAGAATTTTTCAGAAGAACGATGAGGACGTACATCCGTGAACTCGAGAACCAGCTTTTATATACAGTGTGTGACGTCTTCAAGGCGGAGCGAACATTTAGCAAAGGGTATGGGTGTGTTTCGGGCGGTAAGCGTCCGGTACCCACCTGGTAAGGACCCGGCGACGGAACGGATCCGGTATGGAGACGGAATGCAAACATTGAGGATACGGTGGAAAATCTAACAACAATAAAATCTTTGGGGCTGTTGGGCTTAGCCGGCGCCATGGGACAACACCATTAGGGACTGGATGGCTTGATGTTTTGTGATGTTATGACATCCATCAAGATTCCAATGATACATGTAAGTCACTCTTGTAATTTGAAGTTTGCAATGAATGCTTTCATTAATCTTTTTTTTACCAGGTTATGTTCACTCCGATGGAGGCATCCGAGACACTGCTCCTCTACATTGGTAACAATGCATCAGCTGTTGAGGGCGCTAGAGACTCTGCCGGGATCTTTAAAAAACTTCAGTTTTTCTCTCCATGGTCATCCACCAAGCAGAGGCTGTCCCCTTTCCAAGATACCTGTGTGGGTGTTGTTGCTTCTGGAGGATTTGAGCTTGTGGCCCATCAGAGAAGTAAGTGGGCAAGTCCAAACTATTACATGTATCTCCCCAACATCCCATAAGTTAAATGACCACATTTTAGTTATTAGTACATCTAATGGTTGAGTTAAATTGTGACCCCTGCTTAGATCAGATCAAATATCAAATGTAGTGTCAGATTGGATTGTGGGGCATAAAATATTAAGAACCACTGGTCTAGAATTCATGCTTTGCATCAGGAAAGTCAGCATCTCTTTTTAAATTGTTGTGTGATATATTGTCTGTCCAGAGCCAGAAAGGCGTCAAGGCTATGTTTGCGTGAATAGGTTTAACGCCCTTATGGATATAAAGAGGCAATATGTTTCATGGTGTGATATGTAAATAATGTGTAAATGAGCTCTGACTTTTAAGTGACAAAGAACTTTTCAATAGTCACAAGAGTTCAAATACATATTGTTAATTTTAGATGAAGATTAAATAGCTTAGGCACGAATGCAAAATAGATTATTATATACATGTACCTCATACATAGATTGTCATTCACTGATTGGTCAAAACTATATCACATGTCAAAGAGCATTTCGATCTATCAAGTATCATTACGTCAGAGGGTTTGATAGCTTACTATCAAACCCTGGGATAGGACCCCTAAGCCCTCCCGCGACTTAGTTGCGCACACACAAATTCTTTGAGTTGCTAGGCTACCGCAATCGCGCGCACGGTTACGCGCAGCGCGTAGGAATTCAATACTCTTGCCTTTAATTTTGACTTGATGTTGGATTTTTCTTATTCTGGTGAGTGAATTCCTCTTGATCTCGTTTCCTGTTTTTTAGAGCTAGATCTCAACATACAGCTAGAACTAATGGGATGAAGGATGAGGTATATAAAACAAATATGGACTGCTCTGTAATCGGATGATGGTGGGAACTACCACTCCCTCGGTGGTGTGAACACCACCTTGGGAGTGATAGTTCCCACCATCATCCTCATGAGCAGTGAATATTTGTATAATATTACCCTTATCTGTATCATGGAATAACAAGAAATGCTTACTAACTAATACTAAATGAAAATGTACTGGTTTCCAAGTTTTCATTGATAATGAAAATAAGTTGATATCTTCGTGAGATAGCGAAGACTATTTAATTTACAAGTGATCATGACACTTTGTTTGAAACAGGATTCTTAACCCGAGTTATCATACCATCTCAATGCAGCTCATATAGACTACACATTACAAAGGATTGGCTGAAATTTTAAAATGATCTTAAAAAATTGTGTACACATGTCAAGTTATTTTATGATAAGTATATATGTTTGTGTGTAGACAGAAAAGTTAACCAAACTTGATATTTTCAGTGGATCTGTTTTATCATTGCTGCTGCTGTTAATGGTTTTTGCTCGTAATTACTGGTCTTGTCCTTCTCTTTCTCAGCTATTGATGTGCTCTACCTCAGTTTATTGCTAATTGGGCTTACACTATACCTCATATCACCAGCTCTTAGTAGGTATGTACAGTGTGTAGGTCTCCCTACCTTCCCCAACCTATATCCTCTGCAAAGGCACAAGTATAGAACAGTGAAGAGGATGATAGATTTTAATTTTACTTTATAAAAACATTGCATGCACTGTACAAGATATTCATTTCTTGTCAGATTTGTTTTGGAATCAGTTTTACATTTTGTTACTCAGTTCAATTCATTTACCTCCACAGAAAACAGCTGTGTAAAATGTGTACAACAATGCAGAAAACACATCTACCGTAAATATTGCAATAGTAACATTAACATGGAATAAAGGAATAAAGGACGATAATTGAGTATATGTGGGGAGCAGGCCTGGTGAGAGACTGGCAAAGGCCCAAGGGGTATCAAGGGCTAATCCCGAGTGAGGTTGGGATAGGACAATAATCAAGTTCTTTCCTCTATGTTGCAATTCTTACAAAGATATGTGCTGCATTTGTGTGAACATCAATTGCTGTCACTTTGTGCAATATAACATTTGCTGAGTGTGAGCCAGGAGTGTTGACCTACTACATAGGTACGATACGGCAGATGATTTATTTGTAATTTATAACTGCATAGTTAAAACTATTACAGTTGTTCTACAGTCTCATGGCCAGAGGTCAGAGTGCCTTTTGTGACATACATTTGACCTGATGGCTTGATTGTATGGTAGCCCTTATACAACGAGAATTTTTTGCAGGAGTTTTATGCTTTGATAAAAGCATGTTATGAAATGTGCTAATCAAAATACTGGTATTACTGATCTATTAGCTATTAGTCTATAAATTGTGAATATGCATCAGTACAAACAATGGTCAGATTTTGTAGAATGCTGAAAGGGCAAAAATGCTGCACAACAGACCAAAACTGTGACCTCATTCCAATGGGAATTATATTTATGGGGTAGGCTGCCTTGTTTTAATGCATCACTGCCTCCAGAAATGCTTTACAATCATTAAAATTTGTGTCAACTTGAATGATTATGTCTACTTCTTGAGTTTGATACCAAATTGTTGCAGCGCCAACAATCTGATGAAAATGAAATGTGAGTGATTGTGAAAATAATGTCTGATTACAGGTGTACCTAAACTTTTGGAGGGCAGTGTATAAAGTTAGTATTGATTTTGGATACCAGTCTTGATTATAAATGTACATTTAATTGTTCTATCAGGAACTACATCTTTCACTATTCATCTGGAGTAGCCATAGGAGTGTTAGCATCTCTTCTCATTCTCATCTACGTGTTCAGCAGATTGGTTCCAAAGGTAGGAGAAAAATGTCCCTTTTCTTTTGTATACATGTACACATATTAAGAAAATGTACTATTTATTATTCTGCTTTAAAATTGTTCTAACATTTTATGAGAAATAAAAGTTTAAACTAAAATTGAATTAAATAGTGCCTTCAGAATTATTGATTGTGTTATTTGATATTTCCAATTTTCCATATGCAGTACAACCTCTAGCCAATTCGATTCAATTCAATTCGATTCAATTTATTATTTCATAAAAAATCACATACATATATATACATTGAGAATTGTACAGGATCATTAACACCCGATAAAGCCGATGGCTTGAGGGAAGTGGGTGGACCCATAACATAAATGACAAATGTGGAAAATACAAAACATTAAAATTTACCGTAATAAAACAAAATGCAAGATGTTTTATGCTTCCAAAATGGCTTCTATGTCATACCATAATATAAGTAACTAGTAAGGCTATCCAACATTGTCCCATTCCAGAAAACTGGTGCCATGTCGCTCCTGGTCGGAGGATGGGCCTTAGTGGGGTTCTTCATGCGATGGATAGTAGAGAACTATCTGACGGTCCAGTACAAAGGTTACATCATGGGCTACATAATCCTGGCCTCGATGATCAGCTTTGCAGTCTGTTACCGCTATGGACCGGTCACTGACAAGCGCACTGAGAATATCTTACGCTGGGGCTTGCAGCTCATCGGGCTTACATTCATCTACAACTGTTCTCAGCTAGAGGGGGCTTCTATAGCGATCATTGCAATCTTGTTGGTGTACAGATGGATACCACAAGGATCGATTAGAGCATTGTAAGTTGATTTGTGCCATGTATCCCTCTGTCTCTTTTTTCTGATTTTTGGTAATTTAATAATAATTAATAACTAGGATTTATATAGCACTTACACAAAATACAGTCTCTAAACGCTTTATAGATAAAGCAGTTGATATATAGTGAGGACATGACATCACAAACTGATAACAAAATTGCCAATTTGTGTAGTGATTTCACTTGTTTCATAGTTTTACATACTTTTTTTTTTTAATTCATAACTTTCTTATTAGTTATCTGATTTTGCTCAAACTTTTTTTGATTGGTTTGTGAGATTTTTCTGCTTCTATTGAAAATAAGTTATTTTTGGAGCGGACTTGTACTTTAATGCCTTGCCAAAAAACATTAGTGCCATGTCAGGGATCCAAGAGTTACAGAATAAAATGTGAAGTTGGTAATTAGTTGTTAATGCCTTAATGCCCATTGCGTATGAAGCTTGATTTTATTGCATTATAACCTGTGCTAATCATGCATGTGAAGGCAATTAGTCCATGTGCTTGTTTAAGTAATTCAGATCAATATTTGCAATGTTAATTTTCTATTTCCGTTTTGTACAATGTAACTCACACAATGTTTACAAAGACTGTGCTAGTTACCAATGCCACAATACACCAACTAAATTAAATTGAAGCCTCATATGCATTTGACATTTTGGCAGTAAACACCAAGACTAAATTCAAATTTCATCTTTCTAATCAAACAGCTGAGGACAGAGAAAAAGGGAAGTGCTGTAGATTACATAGTCATTATGAAAATATGTTTCGTTAGTTTCATCATTTTAATCTCAGGATATTTCAAACCATTAAAACCGAGTGATTACCAAGTTGTATTGAGCTACTTTTCAGTAGATTAGAGGAAATCATTTGTTACTTTTCATGAACAAACACATATTTGAGTCAAAAGTACCAATTTACTTTTGAGGGTTTTGTTGTTAAAACAGAAAGAACATAAGTATCTGGATACATCGACCCACACCGAGGCTGCTGACAGTTGATGAGTTTGAGGAGCAGGGAAGAGAAGAAACCAAAAAGGCCCTTAAGGAGTTGAGGCAGTACTGTAGCAGTCCTAAGTGCAATGCTTGGAAGGCGGTCACAAGGCTGGAATCTCCCAAAAGGTACAAGATCATGGCTAGGATAAGAGATATTTAAGATGACTTTGGGAAGTGCCATGGGACACATTAGGATTCAATATACCATATAGTATATTTACATGTATATATATATATATATATATATATATATATATATATATATATATATATATATATAGCACCAAACATCATTGGTAATTTTCAAGTTAATTGGCAGGTGGCTTTACAAATGCAAGTGTGTCAGAGGTCACCAAGCAATGACTTGTGTAAATGGATAAAGGTACTTGTTTAGAAATGCTCCTTTAGAACTGAGTTAGCCGAAACTTGACAAGTCGGTGCGAGTATGCTTGACCTTGAGGTGTATTTTTGGCATTAATCAAGATATTTCATTTGGTACTGAGCATGTGTACCAAGTAAAATAACCTTGTGATAACATTATATTACTCTCTCACACTTCTTTTTAAACATTTTTAAAGAATTTTGATAGTTTGCTAAATGCTATTTTAGGGGATTCTGAGAATATCAAAATGTCTTATGTCGATTGAGATCAGTGTGATTGTGCATGTATAGTGAAGTTGTACATAACCCAACAGGTGTGACACATCTTCTTCTATCAGGTTTGCAGAGTTTGTATCAGGAGAGGGCCATGTCAGTCAAGATGAACTGGATTTCTATGCATCGGATGTGACACTCATATCAGAAGATGATCTGATGACCAGCGATAGCAGCAATGCAGTCAGTTCTGATGAAGAGGATTCCAGGTGACCTAGGCTTCCAATTAGAAAACCATAGATCAATGCTATGATAAGAGTGGGGCCATGCACATAATGTTCAGAGGATATTATAACCAGCGAGAGCAGTGCAGTTGGTTCTGATGAAGAGGATTCCAGGTGACCTAGGCTTCCAAGAACACCATAGATAAATGTTATGATAAGAGTGGGATCACGCACATAATGTTTAGAGGATAGTATGACTAGCGAGAGCAGCGCAGTCAGTTCTGATGACAATGATTTTGAAGGTGATTGGGCCTCCAAGAACATTTTAGATCAATGCTATGTCAAGACAAAACAGTGGGCAAACACGCTGGATAATATTATGACCAGCAATACCACTGAGGTCAGTTCTGAGGGAACTGATTCAAGGCGAATTAGGCTTCCAAAAACACCTTAGTTGTGTCAAGAGAAGGAACATCACAAGACATATGAAACAAAGGATACTCTTGTTACCAGCATTAACTGCATGGTCAGGTCTGGTGACGGTGATGCTAGGTAACTGTTGCTTCCAAGAACAGAGAGGAGTGCTGTGTGAAGTCTGGGGATATGTAGAGGGCATATGAAACAGATGGGAATTTTCTTATGAGTGACAGCAGTGCAGTCAGTTCTGACAATGATGATTCAAAGTGACCAAGTCTTCCAAGAACACCTTGATAAGAAAAACTAGCTTAGTCCACTCGTGTCTTTGTAATGGAGTTCAGTACAGTCTGTAAAATATAGACTATACCAGCCAATGCTTTATAGGAAAAGTGGTTTGAAATGTTTAACCTCCCGAGATGATTATTCAATGAATATGGATAAGTTTTATTGTTCATAAATACCTAAAAAATAAAATAGCCTTGTTCTATTGGTATTTGAAAGCAGACATGTTGCCATGTTTTACTAATACATGCAGGTGGAATACTAGAAATTGTGTCGATTTTATTGTAAAGAAAGGCAAGGTTCCAATAACTTCGGAAGGGTCCATGTAGATGTAGAATTCAGTACTTTGTATTCAATTTGTCATGGATTGCCTGGAATTATTATGTCTTCGGGTTGTCCGTCCGTCCATTTGCCCGTTCTGGTGATTCGTGATTACGTTATCTCAAGAACCGATTGATGGATTCCTGCCAAACTTAGGTCATGTATGTATCTTGCAGAGCTAATAAAATTGATTCCATTTTAGGGGTCACAAGGTCAAAGGTCGAAGGTCACAGTGGTCATTATGTATGCAAAAATAGCTCGTGATCACATAATTAGAACCGATGGACGGATTACCATCAAACTCGAGACATGTATGTATCTTGCAAAGCCAATGTAATGATTACGTTTTAGGGCCACGAGGTCAAAGATAAAAGGGTCATACATGTATATGAAAAATAGTTTGTAATCACGATATTCTGAGAACCTGTTAATGGATTACAATTAAACTTGAATTTGAAAAATTGCTTCTGTTTTGGTTTGTGAAAATCGCTCTATGGTGGAGGCTTCATTTTCGACTACACGCAGTCGAAGTTCCATCTAGTTCCAAATACTTTTGAAGGATTGATGCCCAAATAGGGGCTTGTGTTCAAACTAAATGTATGAGAAACTGCCATGCAATTTTAATGTTCTGTGCTGCAGGGTATATGTTTGTTTTTTTACTTCGTCAAACTTTTAGTCTTTCATTAGCAAATCACAAATGAATCTAATTTTTTCTTAACTCACATTTAATAATGATAATAATAATAATATTGTATGAATGTCATTAAATCTATGAATAATGAAAAATTATGAAAAAAGGAGAACAGTATATTTTAAGGAAGAAGTGTCAGGGTGGACTTCCCCTTTAAACGGATTTGCCCCGTTGATTAATAACCCAATGTAGGGTGTCTCATACAGCTTTCAAAGCTAATTGAAGGGAACTAATTATTTCTGTGCTTTTAAACCATCTAGATACACCATGAAAAACACTCTTCACCAAATCCATGATGTGAACTAACATTAGTAATGTCTCTGAATATCACAGAGCCAGAAAAGGGAAATCCTTCTAGTTTCCCCCATACCTAGCAGTCATAACACAGAGTAAATCTAAAAATCTTCTTCTTCCTATTCTCCTTCTCATTCTCCTCCTTCATTTCATTTTCTTTCAAGAGTTAACTTTTGATTTTAAATTGTGTGGTTCCAGTATTAAATTGCAATGGAAGAACAGTTCATACATGTATTTAAGGGCAATCTAACCTTTGTAATAATTTCATTTGTATGAAAGCGGAAAAATAAGAGAAACAGAAAGTTTGAAATAAATCCAACCAATACCAGTAAGTAACTTATGTTTGAAATATGAGATCACTAAATCTATGTGAATCGCCAATTGGCAATTCATTCACTTGATTGTGATGTATTCACAGACAACCCTCTGGTTTCTCGTGTAAGAAAATATCATCAATTTCTATTCGTCTCCCAAGCTATTATTATTGTATTGTGGGTAGCAGTTATTGTTTAAGGGTTTTTTTTAAGAAAAACATTTTGAAAAATTGATATTTTAGTCATTTTGGGTGTTGGAACAAATAGAAAAATTGTTGGGCACTTTTGTCATGAAACTGCCACTTCAGCCAATTTGAAGTGCCCATACGTTTAGTGATAACAACTTTCAAAACTTCATAGATTTCTTTTGTTTTTAGTCTGATTTTGTCCAAAATTTCACCAATCTGGTTCTCTGATTTTTCTGCTTTCTTTTTGAGTAGCTTACTATTAAAGTTGCATTTCCATTGAAGGAAGTAGAAATTTAAGAATAAGATAATGTAATCGTTCTTTGTCCCAACACATTGATTAAGACTAACATTCTTCGGTAGGAATTGCTGCACACAGGAAAAAAAAAATCATTTCATAGTCGACAGTCTGCTGTCTTTGTTGTGATCTGTCATTTGACAGATGTGTCAAGAAATTTGTAATGTATGCAAGTAGTCACTGGTCAGTACTACCTTTCGAGTACCTCATCATAATTATGTGTGTCCAAAGAGATGTATTTACTGATGTTGAAACTTTGTGCTGTGGGGAGACTTTTGCCTTGTGTTTTGCCATTTTTAAAGATTTTGTGTAATAAATACAAACAAGTGACATTAATGGGTGTAGGGTCATCATTGTGTTGTGTGGTTATAGTGTTAGGTTATTGTATCTGAACACAATCATCGTAATCATTGTCACCATAATTTTCCTCATGTTTATCTTCTCATAACATCATCAGCATCATCTTCAATCCTCCTGATCATTAATCACCGTGTAATGAGGAATTTCTATTTACTTCACTCAAGTATGAAACAGATAGCAAGCAGAACTGGTTTAGCTTCATATGAAGCATAGCTTTTATTTGGCACTGTGGCGTGTAGAAAATATATACAATCCATATACACAGTTGTACTGTTCATTTCAATGAAGTTAGTGTACTGATTGGTTGGAAGAATTAACATCTGAAGTACAGAGATACTACAGACACTGTTGCATACTTGCGTACTGATGTCAACATTGCTACAGGCTTTTCATATTCAGTCTGGAAAAAAGAGGGAGAGAAGAAAGAAAGAAGATAGACGGAGTGAAAGAAGAAAGTAAGAAAAGACAAGGAGTAAGAGATACATGTACAAATAGCCTTTGAGTGTAAGAGAAAGAAAACTGAAAACAGATCATTGAAGTTGATGTATCATTTAACAGATCATCAGAATATCTACCTTCACATCATGATTGTCAACATTTCCTTGAAATGTGGAACAACGAAATTGGCAACAAAAAACAGGTTAATTTGGCCAAATTATTAAACAACAAATAAGATAACAAAATCCTGTTGAGAAGAAACTTCACATGTTAGCTTTCAAATCAAAACTGGATAACAAAACTACAGTGTATAAGTACTCTGTTTAAGATCTGAACGAGCATTTGTGCAAGCTGTTTGTGTTAACTACTCCCAACAAAGCATCAGCATGGACATTTGTGTGCAAGGTATTCATTTTAATCTTTTGATCAATAAAAACCAGTACACACTAATTACAATGTAATACAAATATTGCTCTAGTTTCAAAACAGATTCCAAAAGCAATATTATGAACATTTAACATCTTTCTCACTAAGATCCCTACTACTTCTGGTGAAGTCTAGAAACAGAGAATTGTGGAATAGCATGATTGCCAAGTTGATAGATACATGTATGGCACGTAGAGAGGGACAGAAAACACTCGCATAATTTGCAAACATTTAATGCAAACGCATGTTTGTGAATATCATATGGTGACCCTACATTTGATCTAGTGATAACTGCTCTGTGCTACATTTCACCCAAGATTTAAGAGTTAGCTTTAGGGTTGCACTGGACCTTGGGTTAGGTTTAGGTGTAATGTTTGGTCCCGGGTTGAAGCTAAGAAGTTGCTTTGTGTAGGGTGTTGAGTACTGCACATGTTTCATAGAACCTATTGGCCCAAATTGACATACAGAGAGTTGCCTTCTTGTAGCAACAGATTAAGAATCCTTTACTGACTATCATAGTATTGAATACTTTGCGCTGGAATAAACAAACAATCACTTCAGAAAAGTGACATTTACAAAACGATAAATATGTCCAAAAGACTACTTATAACATGGTTAAATGATGTCATGTGAAAAGGTGCTTTAAGTCAAATAGCGTAGCAATATCTACAAAGCAGAGGCTGGAAACTTGTCGAAAATTGTGGGTTATAAACTATACCACATTGGAGGAGAAATTGCAAGAGTATTTTTCCTGTTTGATACTAAAAAGTCCTTTATTTTCATAAAAGTTTATGTAGTGCTAAACACACTCCTACAAAAGTAACATCCAGGAATAGATATTGCTCCCATTATCTACACATAGAATACGAACAGGATCTTACATACAAATAGTTTTTCCTTTTGACTTGACTTATTTTGTCCGCTCTAAAGCAAATCAAATTGATTTCTCTATTACATAGCTTAATAGAGAAGCATGATTAGCATACATATAGTTTCAGGTGCAATTAAATAGACATTGACAATACGGTATTTTAAAAACTTATCGTGTCGACTGTTCTAGCAATGCCAGGGTCAATTCCTATGCAATGCTTCATGAATATCTATCATGAACTCTGGCATCAATTTCCTTCACTTTCATCTTTCTACTCTAAAATCTGCATTCTAAAGACCACTGTTCCATGCCAGATCCAAGATCTTGATAACTAAATCCAATAAATTTGGTCCTGAACTTGCAAACAATCCATGTATCCATGTAACAATCTTCTAGACAAAAGTGAGACTTTTAAAATAGGCTGCTTTCTTTTTATACAAGGTGAGCCAATCATTACATCATGTATCATGTAAATATATAAGCAGAACTTGATCAAAATGATGTCACTCCATTATAGCATGCAAGGTGAATTCTTCGGAGAGTTGAGTACAGTAAACACACCCCAAAATGAAGTTCCTAATCCATACCAACATGTGTGGTGTGTTCAGTTGACTTCTATCAGCATGCCATCAAGATGAATTGATTGGCTAGTGTGCGAGGTAAAACGTTAAAACAACCTGATTAGTAAGCTGTTACTCCATAGTACCGAGAGAGGTGAACTTTCCAGAGTGTTGAGTAGTGTAAACACACCCCAAAATGAAGTTCCTAATCCATACCAACATGTGTGGTGTGTTCAGTTGACTTCCATCTGCGTTGCCTGCTCTTGGCTGTCCTGTTCCCATTCATCTTCATCTGATCCATCAAAGTCTTGTAGGAACCCAACTGATGAATGAAAGAGAGGGAGGGAGGGAGTTAAAATAAATACATTGCTTGTTCAAATAGAGATAAATTATCACACATTATTTACTGCATTATGTATATATAAAGTGTTCTGTCCTTTATATTTGTAGAGCCCATGCCTATTAAAAGAAATTGTTGGAAGAAAACATCATTTAGTCTCATTTAGTTCTTCTTCTATCGTTAGATACATGTGAAAGATATTTGATGCCGTCCATGATTTCCATTTTAAATATATTTTATGGACACCATATCATGACTATACAAAGTAGTGACCTACGCTTGGATCCTTGCACCTCGAATCCCTGCATAGCAATATCGATGTTTAATCCCGACCCTTCATCTTTGACAAAATAAACGACAGAGTAAATGTTGTCACAGCACCCATTGATCACCACTACCAAGCAGTTGGGGGTAAAGATTCAATATACGTTAGTTTCTATCATTTCATAGTTTCATTACCTTCATGTCTATGTATCTGTGGTAGGGTAGAGATCAGTCTGTTCATCTCTGTGATGAGGTGATTGTACTGTTGCTCTGCTTCCAGCCGATGATCAGTGAAGTGACTATCCATGAACAGAGAGTGGAGGGGAAGGAGTCCCTGCCGGATCATCAACAGCCTGCAATGACAGCCACAAAATAATATAATATATAAATAATAATGGCTTTCTACATAGCGCCTATACACAGCACGTTGGGACGTTAATCACACTTGTTCAATAATACTACAGCTTAGCCAAGCTGCCAAAGTAACAAGCATTCAAACATATCAAGTACCCATAAACACCTGGGTGGAGAGTGGCAAATGTAGATTTTTTTTTAAACCAAAGGACATCGGTACCGGGCTGGGATTTGAACCCCATGCCTTGTAATCCAGTCAGGTGACTTATCTATAAGGCCACAATACCTCTACATCAAGGCAGTTTGAAAGGGTCATCGGAAAGAAGGTTTAAGATTGGGACAGAAACAGAGAGCTGTTTGAAAATCTTTCCTACAGCATGCAATACAAGTTTAATTATAAGGACTTGTCTCTATCTATAAGGCTGAAACCCATCTCATGGAATGTACTGCTGCAAATTAAAATGAAATACACGATTGTCTTACTATACTTTCCAGCATCATGTAATAAAATGTTTGCACACTAAGGGCTAATTCCTGTCCACGATGCAATAAACCATCTCAAAATATCTCCTCTGCAAAAGCATGTACAGTTGTATTAACTGCCTTGGAAATGTCTCTTCATAAGTAAACAAAACTCGTGAAGTGGATTTTATTCAAGGGGTATTATGCTGTTCACCTTCTTGAGGTCATACCACAGAGAGACCTACCTCTGATTTTGGAGATCACAATCTGGAGCTATGGATCTGAACTCTCGAGATAACATAACCACAAGTGAAGAGACAACCTGTCAAAAAACAAGAACACCATCCAAAAGTAAACTTAGAGGCTATTTCCTTTTCAAAAAATGAGACAATACTGCGATGGTTACAAAAGAACATTTTGAGATGATATTATTTCCCCTTTCATACAACCAGAATAGAAGTAAAATGACAACATTTGTAAAATTTCATAGAGATGTCCACAGTGGTATATACTCAACATTATGTAGTGAATTGTAAAGAGGAAATGAGCACAAAAAAATGGTATTTAAAAATAAAAAATTAGGGAAATTAAAGCAATTAAAGTAAACTGGTTTTTCAGTTAAAGTTGAAAGTCTTTAATATATTCAAATATTAATGACAAAACCTTTTATCTAAAAAAATGCTGAAATTTAAAGCTTATGGGAGAAGTCTCACGTCTGTTACCTCTTCACTGCACTGGCAATCAGTATCAAGTAAGAAAGCTGCTCCTTCCTCATGCACTGAAGTTATACACGTCAGAAGGTTGATGATCTAAGGGCATGACATTAAAAACAATGGTCAAAACCATGAAAGCCCAGTCAGATTATGTTTATATCAATTTGTTTCAGAAGACGGTTGTCTGAAATAAGTCAAACTTAGTGCGAATCTGCCTGAAAACAGAAAGTCATGGAATATGCTTATGATAAAAGCCATGGCCTATTCCAAACTTATGCAAAAAATTAAAATTCATATCAATGTTTTACTCAGAACTTGAATAATTCTTAAGTTTCCCTTTCTCCCCAAGTGCGTTTGGTCAAACATGCTAAAGGAGACTGACATACAGGGGTATCAGCCATTTATCTGCTTAAGATATTTCTGTCCATTGTAGATTTGATAAACTCCTAAGACCCATTCAAATATGAATAGGCAAAATAAAACACCTATAGTACCCGTGATGGCATATTTTATACTAACTTTGTAAAAATGTTATTGGTTGAACAATTTTGCCACCAGGTGGCACAACGTACGATATGTGCCACAAGTTTTTTTTTCTTCACATCCTCAAAGTTGCCATTCATTTATATAACAATAACAAAATCAGGGGGTTTGTGGGTGGTTTTCCGCTGCAAACCTGCACAAGCCTTCATTAGACAATAAATGTAACATCATCTTGGTACTAAAAACTTTGAGAAATAATGATATCACCAAGGTAAGCTTTGATGACAAAGGCATTACCTTGCAGACTACTTGCATCCTCTCTGCAGTATTACACTTGTTCAGGTCATGACTAGCACACTGGTACAATTGAAGCAGTAGACAAGAATCTGAGCAACACAGAAAGAAGAGAGACAGAGAGAGTTAACACATTACAATCCTAGCCTCATTTGTTTTTCCTTCTCAAATTCAATCAAAAAATATAAACTCACACACATACATGAATGATCAGGTAACTTTCATGAACACTTGGCAAGTTATTAGGCTCTTTGTCATGGCTAGGGGCGCTCAGTCACATGTTTTGGGGTGGTTGTGCCATGCTGTCTTTTATCGGTGCAATGGTGGAGATTGTCTGACGTAGCAGTAACTTTTGTGCTGGTCAGAGGGTGTGTGGCATTGTTGTCACAGGGCGGGTGTTTGGGTGCCATTGGTGGTGACGGGGAGCCTGAACTCGGTTGACTTCACAATCTCGATCTGGTCATGCACATACTATACTTCGAGACAACTTAGTGCATACAACATCATTTAGATGTTGTATGCACTAAGTTGTCTCGAAGTGTAGGTGTCATTTTTAGATTGAAATTTATTTTACCTGAAAGAGTGCTGATAACATTATATAATAGTATTATTCTTCCTTATTTGACATATTGTAATGTTGCTTGGGGAAACACTTTTAAGTCATATCTTGATAAGTTAAGAGTATTGCAGAAGAAGGCAATAAGGCTTATTACTAATTCTAATTATAGACATCCAAGTTCTCCATTGTTCCTTCGATTAAGAATGTTACCACTAAGTGGACTTGTGTCAATCAATTGCGTATTGTTTATGTATAAACTTCAGTTTATGCCTCATGAATGTACGTTAAAAGATTTATTCCGTAAAAACTCACAAATTCATAATTATAATACACGTCAAAGGGGTCTTATTCATCAGCCTTTTGCAAGAACAAATATCACTCTGACCTCTTTCCATATCTCTTGTATCAAAGAATGGAACAGTTTGCCTGATGATATAAAATATAGTACAACTCTTTGTAGGTTTAGAAGGTTATCTAAAACGTACCTACTTGGAAAACTGACATAATTCTACTTTGTATCTTAATAATTTCTCATTCTCAAATGCTTATAGACCACTAAGGACTGTGTGTGTGTGTGTGTGTGTGTGTGGTGCGCGCGTGTGTGTGAATATTTTTTTGTGTTCTATATTCTGTAGCTTAGTTTGTTTCCATCCCTTGTATAAACATTACATTCTTTTTATTCACCTTGCCATATCGTTAATGTATGTATTTTGTTGACTATAGGGCCCCGCTCACAAGCTTAGCTTCTACAGGGGTCCTAAAACCATTCACTTAATGATGTACTATTACCAGTCTCTTTTTCATGTAAAAGATTATATCATGTTTTGTGTGGTTTTGAATAAATGAACTTGAACTATAGCTCCGAACTGGACTAGTGTACATCATCTTTAAGATGTTGCCAATTTGAGATATGTTTTCGTAATCATTAGCAGTGGTCACAACGATGTAATTGTATAGCCTAATAATAAAACGATATGTGTCTTTTGTATTGTTTTTCCTTTTTTTTCCCATAAATATCAGAAATACATTATTGAAAATGTGTTAGTTTTCTTTTAACTCAACAGTTCAACAAACACTTGTATCTTGAGTAGTCAATTTTATTTAAGTTATAAATGTAAAATACCTTGAATACATATTTGTTAATTTTTTGCAAATGAAAATCAATAAAATCCCTGTGAAGGGAAAAATATGGAGAGAAAAAAAAGAAAACTCATACACAAACTTCTGGTATAAAATAGCACTTATTTAACAAAGAGGTAAAGAAATGGCTTACCTGAATGTGTACAGAGATTCTGGGTTAGACGCCAAGATTTGGCAGCAAGCAATGAGAGTATTGTGAGCACGGCACAGAAAGTATCAGGACTGTCACATGTCATGAGTGGATGCAGGACTTCGGATAGCAACAGTTCAGAGAACCTGAAGAGAGAGAGAGAGAAACAATTTAATAACTGTCCAGTCTATTCCAGACAACAAAGTTCTGACTTTCAGAGATAACTGACAAATTCATATCATGTAATAATGCAGCCTTAATTTTTCCACTATTTTTTAATCTGTCAAGTTTATGACTGACAGGATGAAAAAAATACACAGAGTCTGGGGGCAAATTCGCCCCTGAAATGCCAAAAAGAGCCCAAAATGAGTTCAATGCGAAACAAATTGAATAGTGTTATTTTCATGCGAGGAAGCTTGAAAAGTGGCCCCCCAAATTTTTTAAATTTTTGTTTCCTGTTTTACTTGGACAGCAACATACCTAAAAGCATCTTCCATTGACAATATCCTGGCCAGTTCAAAGAGTATCCTGAGAGCGGTGTCTAGCACCACAGGTCCCTGGCCTTCCGATGGCTGCATGCCTATGATCTTTACCAGCCTCTTCAGGATCTGACATCTTGGAAGGTCAGAGGTCATGAGAGACACTGACGGTAGGTTGGTGCCGGGGCGGGAGGACATTGGTTGCTGGGATGTTGACCGCCCAGGGGCTTGTGTGGGCTGTGGAAGAAACAGGAAGAGTGTTACTTCCCCCAGTTGTACCATATTGTAAAACCCAGCAACTCTCCCAAGCAAGAAATATTCACAAATTTGGCTAGTGTTCAAGATTGGCCACAGTTTCATGCCGTGAAATAATTGAACCACATCTGACACAACTCTGAATTTTTGCCATTCAAGAAAGTCTCTTGCTCTGAAAATCACTATCCTTAATCAATTAAATGTTTTAGTTTTGCATTTCTAGAGGGTAGCGCCAGGAGCGTCACAACGTGACGGACATGTGTGCCATATAAGAAAATACTATTATTATTATTATTATTCTAATTTCAGAAATTAAATCCAACAAGAGATTGTCTTAATATCTGACGAAAGGAATTCTAAGTCATTACAATCAAAATCCTATTATCTTGGGAGAGACAGACACAAAAAGGATGAATCATTAACTTGAAGATATGAACACCTTGACCATCGCAGACATACAGTAAATGTAAAAGGTAAATCCCTGTATCCTCTATAGTATTTTAAACAATCACATTACTATACAAGTACATACATGTTTCTTATAATCTGCATTTTTAGTGCAGCTGCAAGTAAAGGACTCACATCGATAAGCGGCGCTGAGGGGTCAATTTCCATCAACGAAGTATCAGCATCACCACCATCTTCTCCACCGCCTCGGATGATATGAGAGGCTGCAACTTTACTGTAGCACACCAAACAGTATAGAGTTTGTAAAGCATTCACTGCTCCTGCTTCTTTCATTTCAAGCTGTAGCTGCTCCTCCTTAGCACCAGGATCTAAGGAGCTATCCAGGCCTCGCCCAGCTCCACCCCCGCTGCTGCTAGGACAGGTGGACGCTAAGCTAGACGAGCAAACACTCAATAAATGCAGCGAGTCTATGTAGCCTACAAGCTGGTCCTCTAGAAGTGGGAGCACCCCTAATATTGCATTGGAATTGTCCGTTTTTAAGGCATGAATCTGCTCCAGTTCGGAATCGTCCATTTTGGAAGAGGTAAGTTTGTTAGCACAGGCACTGGTGGATGAGTTGGACCAATTCAAGAGTGATGATAATGCTCTCATAGCAGATTCATAATTCTTGTTTCTCCTGGAAGATGTAGTCTTTGCTTCCTCATTCTGTAATCTGTATATTGACAAATGTTATGATATAATGATATAAACAACAACATTCTCATCATACACATACTTCAATGAATACACTTCCTATCTTACATAATCTCTTAGTCCGTATCACATAATTGAAATACAGGCTCATATGAGCAAAGCAAATCAATAGTTTCTTCAAAATACTCCAAAGTAGTTGTTTTTGTCAATGCAGAATTTTCTGATCCAATCAGCCTCAAGATACTTTTTTTTGTTGAAAATAATTAACAAACTACTGCAAAATCAAGACTAATGTCAAGACAACCAAAGAAATAAACAACTGAAACAGAAGCGAAATCGGCTTACAGTTTAGCTGCTGGAATGTTTGCACTTTTGTTTTTCTCAACCTCCCTGAGTGTTGGATGAGAATCACAGTTTATAGACTCAGCTGCTTGAAGAGTACTGATGAGAGAGCCCTGAGTAAGTGATGCAGCATTGTAATCCTGGGGCAGAGTTTGGCCCATGAGTCGTCCAATTAACTGTGCAGAGGATACATGACCTGAAGAAGTAAAAACAGGAGTCAAAAGTGAGAAAAACAAATAGGGCCTAAGGTTGACTTGCTTGCAGAGTCAAAGGGATGTCAGTATTAAGTCAGGACTTTATAAAGATCCAAACAAAAGCCAACAAATTCACAACCCTTATTTCTCCATCCTCAAGTACAGTATTCATGGCATCTTACTGATATCATCATAGAAGAGTTCTGAAATTTGGATGAAAAATGCCCATCACCATGTTCCCATAATCTTGACAAATTTATATTTTCCATGGTTTCTTGACATAGGTGCAGAGCCGACACAGCTGTTATGTAGCTCCCTTGTCCTGGGGCAGATTGAAGTTTTTCTATGATAAAGGGATCGTTTGACAATGTTAAATCTGAGATGCATGGTCCTACGTGTTATCACTGTCTGTGATATGGCGTAATATTGAAGCCATACAAAAATTGCACTTCATAATTATCATGAAGTGCCTCAAAAAATTAAAAATCTTTGAGTGACCGGTTTTACCATACTCATTTCCCCCAATAGAGCGTAGTTTAATAAAAAACGTTAAGAAAACGAAAAATAAAATTTCGATTTCCAATCATAAATACCTTGATAATCAGTCATGGGATTCCTGACTGACCTAAATGTTTATAATTATGATTGCAGCATGAGCTAAATCCAGAATTTTGTTTTCAGAATCTGAGGCAATGTTACCGAGTCACTTTAAAGGGAAGATGGGCAAAATTCTCAACAAAATCTCTGGCAGGTAAAAAATAACTAAAGAAAAGTTATCAAATCTTTTTTAATTGAAAAGGGGGAGGGGAGCATTTTGGCCTGCATACTTAGGGTAGGCCAATTGGATTTTAGAGGATGAACCAGAGATGGAAATGAAATCCCCCCCCCCCTAACATTGCTAGTGATTCTGCCTCACACTACATGATTTACCACTTGGATATCTAGATGACAGAGTTAGCTTGGTGGAGCCTGTGATGTCCCTCCTGAGATTGGCCTTGTTACTTGAAATCTTCCTCTGTTTCATCACAATCTTGGGACTTCTTGCTATGAGCAGAACAAAGTGAATAAAACATATATAGCTACATTGTTTTCTTCTTTTCAAAACTTGTTAATCAGGCAGTTTCAAGTTAACCTTCAAAGAACTAACCTAATGAAAGTATAACACTACCCAGTAGATACTGTACATTAGCATGATACACTCGAGCACTGGTTTTGTAATGACATTACATTATTATAAATCATCACTTAAATACTGACTGACAGTGCTACATGTATCTACATGTAGGTCTAGTTATTTATTACATTGGCTATTAAATATTCTATAAAACCGAGGCAGTTTTCGCTAAAGTTTGACATTCCCCAAATCTGTGATTTTTTTCTTTTAAATCATAAGATTTTCAAATAAAAGCTCTTGAAGAAACATTCAAACAACTAAAACATAGCAAAATCTGGCAAACACATTTGTTTCCATTTAATTGATATCACCTAGAATCCTAGAAGCACACAAACCTGGACTTCTAGATGCAACTCGCTTGGGGCTGCGTAGAATCCCCTTGCTGGTGCTGCACTCTTCGACAAGTCGCATCTTGACCTTGGCGGGTGACCCCAGGGCGGGGTTAGTCTGCATGAAACTTTCTTTGGTGGGGAACCCCCCTTCCTGCTGAGGGGTAGCAGCAGAGGCCTGCTCTCTTCTCCCCATCGAGGATCCCGTGAAGCGGGGGCTGTTACGGGGTGGAGTGATGGGGTTCTTGGCCATGATGCTGGTGTTGTTGTTCATCTGAAGACGTTGCTCCAGACTACGATAGGTACTCTGTGCTTCTGCCAACTCCCTTTCCTTAAATTGCAGTTGCGTCTTTAGACTTTCTGCCTGTGAAATTACAAACAGAAAATGACTTTGACCGTATCAGTTATCATATTTATTTGAATATTGTCTTGGAAGAAAGAACACAACTCAAAAGGAGTGACTATGTGTACAAGTAAACTGGTATTTGGTCCATGCTGTAGTATGTCTTTGAAAATGATCACATTAAATTTGATCTTTGATTTCAAATTATGGTCACAAAGTAATGTAACAACATAGAGTAATAAAACATTGTTTATTTTCCCCCAATGACATTAATGTCTTTCAAACATCATACCTCCTTGGTCAACTCCTTATCCATCTCCGTCTGCTCCCTCTTCAGTTTCTCCTCATGTTCTACCCTCTCAATTTTCAGACGACTGACTTCTGCCTTGTACCTTCCTAGGTTCTGTCTCAGCACTTGAATCTCTCCATCTTTAGAGAACCTTTCTGATTTCAAATTCTTGAGCTGGAAGGTGTGGAAAAAAAAATTAGATGTTTATCTTGCTTATATTTTTCTTCCTTTCAAGAAAATAGCTGGAAAACTTATTCATATACAGAACGTAGGACACAAATACTAAAAATTTAAATTTATTTCAATGGAAATCACATGGGAGTAGCATAACAATCAATTTGATAACAGGAAAATACCCAACAATGACATCATTCATACAAAGGAAGCTACTTATTTATGGCAGTACAAATAAGTATAGGATAATCTTGTGACTAATGATAATTCTTTAAAGATAGTCTGTTATCATTTTAAATATATCAAACAAAAATCAACAAAACTTGCATATAATAAAGAGAACTCCTTGAAGGTTCATGCTCCTTAATTAGCATAATTTAGGCAATATCAAGCGTACATGAAAATGAATTTTTCTCAAATTCATATACATGTAGGTTTAAAATCTTTGCAGTGTACTTACTGATGAAATGTTTTAGGGGGCTTTATTGTAAGTTCAACAATTCATGAAAAATATAGGTAAACAGGGCAGCATTTCATAAAACCGTCATACGTACAAGTTCTCCAACATTACATTAAAACGTGGGTATTAAATTCAACAAAATTCAACAGATGTTATAATAGGATGTCGGTGAACTTGTACTTATGACGGTATCGTGAAACGATGCCCTGGATGATAATTTTTTAATCTTGATTTTTACTTGCCTCTTCTTTCATCTTTTCCAACTCTTGAGCCAACCTCTGGGCCTCCCTTGATTCACCTTGCATTGGAAGATTAGGTGTCCCTGAAGAAGTGCAGCCTTTTGGAGGAGTAAGGGTCTTGCTCTTTGCCCCTCCTTGAGCCATTGTCTGAGCCGAGAGAGTGTGACGTACCTCCTTCGCTGGAATGCCATGCTGGAATGTTTTATTGCTGGTGGAATGCTGATGATCAGAGTCTTGAGGCAGCAGAGTGTTGGACACTCCGAATCCCTGGGACTGTGGTGATTCTTGCTTGTGCAGTGGGAAGCTCACATTAGACTGCTGAAGGCGAGGGTTATTATTGGTAGGTTGGGCTTCCACTCCCTTCTTGTATCTATTCTGACTTGATGCAAAGGGAGGGGAGCTTTTCACCCCATCCGGAGAAGGAGACAGATACCCTGTATAGATTTTAGAGGGACGGAGTTCTGCAACGGGCACTGTGACGTTCGTCTGACGCCTGTCTTGTCCTCTGGCTTGTCCATGGCTAATTAAGGGAGGATGCCTATCAGGAGCTTTCTGTTGGAAACTAGTGCTTGGCTTTCTGGGAACATTAGGGGACCTGGAAGTAAGAGGCTTGAAAGAAAAGTTGTGTGGCACATGTGCCCCTTTCACATATGGTTTGCTGGATGCAGTTGCAGAAGTGATGTGGTCCCTGGGTATTTGGCTCAAAGCTTGAGATTCGATGATGTCAATCTGCTCCAGGTCATCTGCTGTGAAGCTTTCCTCATCCTCAAAGTCTTTGAATGGATCAACCTCAGCCTGTCCACCTTCCGTGCTTAGTCTTGGCTTCTTGTTTGGAGCAGGGAATGCCATGGGTGCACTTGATCTGTTCTTTGGGGGAGTGAACAAGGGGAAGGGATTCTTACTCTGACCAGGTCCAGAAAACAGAGGGTTAATAGCCATAGTACATGTAGTTTAGTATTGTTGAAGTGATGAATGAAATGGAGAGGAAAGGCTCATGAACACCATGGTTCTGTAAGAAATGAGTAGTAAAAGCAAAAAATGCTTAATACTATGGTGCAGTGCAAACATCCAAAGTGCAAAGCTAACATACATGTTAATCATTTAATTTAATTTTAGCTTTAAAATAGTTGATTCTATTGATATTTAGTGGACAACTTCCAAAGCCATTAAGGCCAAGTAATAAAAGTAACAAGTTTCTCGTCCAGACTTTTTCAAAAAAGGAGGCAGTGCTTTACTATTTTTTTTTTTTTAATTTTTGTCTAAGATGTATGCCATGTCCACTTGCTAAGCAAGTTTCCAAATTCAAAAACAGTGAAAAATGTACGTGTTCAGCTGGAATTAGCTACATGTATAAAAGCTATTTATTAATTTATACACAATGTGCATCACAGCCTGTTTTAATGCTTTTTTCCTATTTAGTAAATAGTTCAATTCAATTCATTAATGGTTTTAATAAAAAAAAACAATGCCTCCAAGCCAAAATGCTGAATTGTGCATGTTTACATATATACGTGAGCTCCATATTACATTTCAAAACAAAAGGAGGTGGCAGCCAAAAAGGAGGCAGACGGAGACGAGAAACTCATAAGTTTTGTTATTTTGCCTAATCAATTCAACATTTCCTTCAACACAAATCTAAAAAGCTATTTTTTTCAAAATGTCATGCTTTAACAGGTGACGCACTTCCCACATAGCTGACGCACAATTAGGATACCTGTGAAAAATTGTATACTAATATCAACGTTTATCAAAAAAATAACAAGAAAATTGACACGAAACAGGTAATAGACCTAGATCTAGAACGACTTTTAACTCATAATCTTTATTTGGACATTTGAAGTTACTTTATTTTGGGTAGAGGTCTATGTTTTAGTAGGGTATCTCCACGCCGGAGTTACGGGTCAAATTTGGATAGGCTTCTGAACAAGCGCCCAACAAACAATATTACTAAAAGTTAGTATTAGAGTCTATCCTAGAAACCGTCATAAGTCTAACTTCTTGACTATCCCATTGAAACGTGTGTTAGACATTAACATGCGTCTGATTCTAGTCAAGAAGTTAGACTTATGGATGGTTTCTAGGAATGGGCCCCTAGTCTTACTCTTAAAAATGGAAGTTAGAGATAGTCTACGCGATCTACCCTAGACCGAAAGCTTCAGTCTCTCTAATCGTCGGTTGTTCCACTGAGACTACGTCTGGCTCCACTAGACCTCCGATTATGACAACAAATGTCAGTTTTATTAAAGAAATGACCCAAATCAGATGGTTATTGCTGTCTATGGTCTAGTCTACCCTAACTCCAGCTCTAGTTCGCTGAAGCTAAAGATACTCCTAGGCTAAGGCCTAACCTGAACACAGGGTTCAGAATAAGGCGAGTCAGGCGCAGCGCGCGCCAGCATAGCTAGCTGCCAATGCCAATGCCACTGCCAGCCAGTGCCAGTGGCAGTAGGCCTAACGTTAGGCCGAAACTATAGTCTCAGCTAAGCTGGTAAGTCATTTGCCAAATACCACCATATATTAACAAAATTTAGTTAAGATAAATGAATAAAATAACAAATTGATTACCACTGCACTACGAATGCGATGTCAACAACTGTTGGAATTATTCCAAGGCCTTCATGTACACACAAATTGGCAGAATGCACGCTACACAGTCAGCGCCATGTTTTCGAAGCTTGCTGGGAGAGTCTATTTTAGAATGGGGGATCGGAGCGGCGCGGGAAAAGAGTAGATCTAAACTGTATCATTAAAAAGGAGAGGGTGACTATGACTGGCTTTACTTTTCAAACACAGTCATTTTTTATGATACTTGCTAATTTATAGCTTTTCAATGCAAGTGCTCCTGCTTTAAATAATACTTGCAGACATTATTACCAAGATGCAGACCCTCTCTCAGAGTCAACTCGACTTCACCAACACACGATCAACTGGAAATTCTAGTTTCTACCAACCATAGAGATATATACTACTATTAAGTATATATCTCTATGCTACCAACGAATTTCGATGGTTTCTACATGATGCAAGGGATTCTAGACGTAAAATCAATAAAAAGGGGGCGCTATAAACGCGCCACGTTCCGCTGGCACGGGCAGGGGGTGTCTGAGGGATGTGCCCCCCCCCCCCTCAGAAGTTTAAAGAAAATCGGAATTTAAAACTCCTTTGGCGCGATTTGTGCATACTTTTCAGTATCAATAAAAACTGAAAATCATTGACTAGATTCCTATGGATTTTTTCTTCCTAAAATAGGAATATCTAATGCCACTCACTACTCTGAGACATATTGCTATAGCCTTTACAAGCTTTATTATTGTCATTATTATGTGAAATGATTCCATGGAGTATCTTGATAACAACAGGTAGGTTTAAAATGAACTACTACATGTCTTGTTATTCATTATCACCAGGCACGTAGCCAGAGTTTGATGTTTGGGGGGCACATACATGTAATCGATCGAGGTTTTTAAAAACAGGGGGTCTACAAAAGTTCAACCGATCTTGGAGAAAAAAATTGGGAGGGGGTACGTGCCCCCCCCCCCTTGCTACGTGCCTGATTATCACTAACATAACGTCTTGATATTTGTTTTATCACTTTCGTCAAATATTGAGTGTCCATCAACTTCGACACAAAACAAAAATGTCAACTTGTAAGTCATGGCTGTAATTGTAAGAATGAAACTATTAGATATCATATAAATTATAAATAAAATGGATGTAATTGAGTAATAAGTAACCATCTAGATTATGATAACTCCGAAAAATCTTACAATAATATACGAAGTAACATTCCTTTTACCATACCAGTTAATATGATACCATTACATTTAGCATTAGTTTAATATCTACAAAATGCTCAGTCCACCTTGTATTAATGATACAGAAAAATACATCTTCAGTTTACACATCTTCACTTGAAAATAGAAAGATAGATATAATATCTCCTGATTAATAAATCCAAAATTTCATTAAGTCAAAATGTTACAACACGGCGATAATCATGTTTTATACTTGAAATCTCGAACTTTGTGGTGGACAATGTTTAATCAGAGTGGCTATAGAATGATATGGTACAAAGCACACAATCTCAAAACATTCGATCAGAAATAACTCGGAAGTTGCGGGCTATACGATTCGAGTCCAATAATATAATTTGTCATGTTTGTTAGCAGTCCTTATACCATAACACCTGATTAAATTATGTTTTGAACAAACTGAATTCAAACTTAAAGTATAATCCCTTTACCTACAAATTTAAATATAGATACTGGTCATCATGTAGTAATAATTGAAATATTCATAAAATATGAGAATTCATCTAGTCAGTATATTAACGAACATGTTCTTTAAAAAAAAACACGGATAATACATTAATTAAACAAGGCCTCTTTTAAAGTGTAACGGCTTTAACCTATGGCAGGTACAACGTGAGATATTAAACCTGAATTGTAATTCAGATCATGTCCATCCTAATCTAAAAATAAAATACAATTGCAAGTAAACTATTTATGCATCTCAAATATTTTCTGTGTTATCGTTTCAAATTTTTCAAATAAAATGTACACTTAAATGCCAGTTAATTTCTGTATTGTTGGCAGCCCAGGGTAAATAAAGGTCCATGATATATGAAGTCACAAACAATAAGCCGTATTCATAAAACTAAGTAATTACTAACCTGCAAAAAAAAACAATTGGTGACCAGAAAATTACCTTTTCTTTTTTTGCTCAAGGAAAGGGGGGGGGGTTTTAGTATTTTTTTTTTTAAGCGCTCACTATCGGTCGGCGCGATTTTTAAAGTATCGCCCGGCACGATTTTTTTCATATTTCCGGGGGCAAAGAAAAAAATTAGTGCTAACCCCCCCCCCCCCCCGTCCTGCGTTTCACCAGACAAAGGTAAGGGATGTAAGTAGTGATAGACTACTTGCTTCGTAAAAGTAGCATTATTTTCATCAATGTACAGATTGACTTTAAATTTGAAAATAAACTACATAAATTATGTGAATAGTTCTGCTTGTAAAAACACTAGATAGTGCTGAAATATCACTTTGGTTAATACAAGTTTCAAGTTTCAAGTTTCAAGTTTTATTTATCTTTCTTTCATAACACACTTTACAAATATGACATGAATATAACAAGTTTACAGAATATGGCGTTACAAGATGAGGTGACCTTGGTTGAAAGCAAGGCTTGTGGATTTAAGGTCCCTCATGAGTAGCTTATGAATATGTCCTAAAAGAACAAAACTCGTCAGATAAGAATAATGCATACATTTAAGTGCTGACAAACTAAACTAACTAAACAACTGAAAAAATATAAACATAAATAAGTATAACAAAATAAAATCTACTGACTACTAAATAATGGCTATAAACAAAAAAACAGGAAAATACAACGAGCAACAGGACTGAAACACAGACAAAAACAAAAACAGACAGACAGATGAATAGATGTGAGAGATGGGAGTAGAATTATGCTGACCTATATAGTAATTAATTTTCTTAAATATTGATCACAACTATAAATCTAGACGATATCGACTCAAATATAGTAATTTCAGTTTGCGCTTAAATACATAAATACTGACTGATTGCGCTGTTCTTGGTTCAAGGGAATTCCAAAACCTAGGTCCAGTGGACCCCACAGTAGTAAGGGCAAATTACACTCAGGGGATTACTAATGAGCATATAATTAGTTTCTTTAAGATTTAAAGACAACTTGTTTGCATGAATCCACAAAGTCGCATTTGTCAACTCAGAGTTTACAGTCTGCACAAGAGTTTGTGGATTTCTGTGAGAGAAAAATACACTCGAGTCGTCTGCAAATAAAATGAATGATAACATTTTTGCGGAAAGTTGAAAATCGTTAATATACACAATAAACAAAAGCGGGCCTAGAAGGGATCCCTGTGGGACCCCACAAGCAGTGGCGTACGCAGGATTTTTTCAAGGGGGGGGTTTTAAAATCGGGTCCAAAATTTCGCAACGACTCAGGAAAATTTGAAAATTGCGCCGGCCAAAAAGTCGCTCAGTGGGGGGGGGGGGGGGGGGGTGGGGGGGGGGGGGGGGGGTAAGCGGACACTTTTTTTTTTTTTTTGGTCCCAAAAAAATCGCAACAACTCAACCGACCTGAATAAGCGGGGGGGGGGGGTAAGAGGACACTTTTTTTTTTTTTTGGGTCTCGAAATTTGAAAATTTGACATTTTGCTCCGTTGGGGGGGGGGGGGGTAAGGTCACCTTTCTTAGTCAGCCATGGAGGTTTTTAATAATAAAAAAAATAAAAAAAAAAAAAAATCCAAAGGGGGGGGGGGGGGGGGGGTTTTAGGTTTTTTTTAGGGGGGTTTACACATGTAAAAATACCAAAGGGGGGTGTTTAACCCCCCAAACACCCCCCCCCCCTGCGTACGCGCCTGCCCACAAGTGACGTCCCGCAAATCTGAATCAATTTCATATAATTGAGGGCGCTGTTTAGCAGCAAGCATCAACTTCTTATTACTGAACTTTTACATGCAGTTTTTCTTCTTAAATCTTACTTTTGGAACTGAACTGTGGATACTTGATTGGAATTTTGTGTTCATTGGACTGTGTGGATTCGTCTGGGTAACTTTATGTGTGTCTTAAGTTTTATATTTGATACTAATTGATACATCTTACTTCTGACTCTATATGTCAATATATACCAAATTGAACCGTGCAGTGACATGTTATACCATCGGCGATTTACTGGCCATGATAGCTGGACGTACAGGGTTGTAACCCTGCTTTTGTTACTTTCAGCAAGCATTGTGCTGTCTGACAATGGAATGGCTCCAGACAATAGCCATCCCCCGGACAAAAGCCACCCGTCGGTCGACGGACAGGACAGAGTGATTCGTTATACGAGTAATGAACTTTTCAGGTTACGCTCTCAACCGAAAAGTCGTATACCTCGAGATGCGTTTGAAGCTATACATGAACTTGGAATTGCTCGTAAAAGAGGATGTCGGGCAGGAAAAAAGATCCGGCGACGATTAAAAGTTGTTGATTGTTATTCTCGCCACCTAAATCAAGACGAAAAGCCCATCGTGACCAGGACAAGAACATTGAGGCACATTGAGACCCTGCCTAATCAATCACCATCTCTACCTTCTATGTACATGCTTAACGCAAGATCATTGAATAATAAGTTCGACGAATTCACTTTTGTTGTTCAAAATTATGACATGGACATTGTTTGTGTGAGTGAGACCTGGTTCCAAGATAGTGTTCCAGAGACCGCGTTCAGCATTCCAAACTACAACTTACTGCACAAGAGCCGAGTTTCCCAACGAGGTGGAGGAGTCGCCATCTATGTGAAATCTACTATGAACCCCACTGAAACCCACATAGACGTTCCGGAAGAACATGAGGTTGTTTGGACGCACATCCGACCAACACGGTTACCTAGGAACGTCTCTTCAATATTTGTGGCATCAGTGTACTCACCCCCAATCAATGCTCATGTGGATAGCCTTATTCATTACCTTACACGGGCTGTTGATCATATTCTTCTGAGACACCCTTTGGCAGGAATCATCATCTCTGGTGATTTTAATCGAGCTGATGTATCTCCCCTCCTTGCTGGACACAGCCTGAAGCAGGTAGTAAATCGTCCAACGCGTAACCTTTCTATGCTGGACTTGATCATTACCAATATGAAGAGTTTATACTCTGTCATACAAATTGTTGCCCCAATTGGAATGAGCGACCATAATGGAGTCATATGGAGGCCAAAACAGCAATCATCCAGGAG